TGAAGACCATCTGTCATGTTTTGTGTTGGCCCTATCGCTTCAGAAAGAGATTGGTCCAAATATCTTTACCCGCAAAATGCTTCTGTCCATATTTCAGTGGATGCATTAAACGGAAAGTATATTTATTTCACTGTAAATCTTCTACAAGGTTGTTGTGGTTTAACCCCAGCCAGCAACTAAGCACCACACAGCTGCTCGCTCACTCCCCCTGGTGGGATGGGGGAGAGAATTGGAAGGGTAAAAGACAAAACTCGTGGGTTGAGATAAAGACAGTTTAATAGGTAAAGCAAAAGCCACGCACGCAAGCAAAGCAAAACAAGGAATTCATTCACTACTTCCCATCGGCAGGTGGGTGTTCAGCCATCTCCAGGAAAGCAGGGCTCCATCACACGTAACAGTGACTTGGGAAGACAAAACACCATCTCTCTGAACATCCCCCCCTTCCTTCTTCTTCCCCCAGATTTATGTGCTGAGCATGATGTCATATGGGTATGGAATATCCCTTTGGTGAGTTGGGGTCAGCTGTCCCAGCTGTGTCCCCTCCCAGCTTCTTGTGCACCCCCAGCCTACTCGCTGGTGGGGTGGGGTGAAAAGCAGAAAAGGCCTCGACTTTGTGTCAGCACTGCTCAGTGATAACGAAAACATCCCTGTATTACCAACACTGTTTTCAGCACAAATCCAAAACACAGCCCCATACAAGCTACTATGGAGAAAATTAACTCTATCCCAGCCAAAACCAGCACAGAGGTTTTGTCTTCCCAGATGACAATGCAGGGTCTTTGCAGAGGTCTTGCTGCTTCCCTGAAGAGAATGTCAGCAAGTTTCTCTTACTTTCATGACAGGTTCATGGATGCACTTTTCTACACAGCTTTCTTTGGTCTGAGGCTCACTGACTTCTATAGAGTACAAATTCTCAGGGTAAATGTGCAACCTCTCACTTAACTGCCCGTTAAAAGTATTCAGAGTTTATAGGAGCTCTTTTAGAGGTTATGTTTTTTCCCAGGGTCCATCTCCTGCAAGACAGTTTCAGGATGTTAATACTGGTTCTGAGACAACTTGGGTCATGTCTGAGAGCTTGGAAGAATTTGCGTGACCATCCTCAACATGCATGTCTGTCTGCACTCACAGATCACCTAGTGTGAGACTGCAGACATAGCACATTACTAGCACGTCTTTGGGCTGTGTACACCTATTGGTCATCTGTTGAACGTGATTGTGAGAGTACAAAGGGAACTGGGTGACTTTCTCTGACAAATGGCCCATGCGTGCATTTCTGTACTTCTCTTGCTAATTACTGGTGCTTAGTTGGAGAGCTCAGGGCTTCTGTCTCTCAGTGGAGTGTTGGGGTGTCCTGGGAGGCGCATGGTTTGAAATGTGACTGGCTCACATTTGCGTGTTCAGGAGTGACCTGCAGCTTCAGCCCCAGCATGGATTGCCTCATGTCTTCCTTGTGTGTATAAGGGCTGGATACATACTATTGTTGAGCTGTACTTATGCCTAGCTCTGATCCCACCAGGAAGGCTCAAAGATTTATCCTGGTCTTTGTTTCAACTCAGGCTTCATGCTTTGATACAACTCTCTTCTTTTTCGTTGCTTGTTGACTAGCTAGTTTCCTGTCAAGTATGGTGCAGAAACTACATCCAGCAGTCATGTACCCGCTGTCAGTCCTGAAGGTTTGGTTTATGGAGACTCATTGCAAAGAAACGTTGAGGAATGGTGTCTTTTCCCTTCATACACCGCTAAGAACTCTTAAGTCTCTGTGTTCCATGGGCTTCCCGATGCCTGTTGGAGACATTATTGGGTTTCTGCTCAAGAAGGTTTACGGATGCCTTTGATACCACTTCAGAACAGAATTATCCGTAAGGTTAGTGAGGTGTGGGGAAAGGAATCCTGCAGGCCTCTGTATACCCAAGAAAATTTCATTGCCATGACTTTGTGATTTTTTTTCCTTTTTCTTTTTTCCCTTTTTTCCAAACAAGAATCCTCTAAACCCTTCCCTCGTCTCACTCCAGATTCACCTCAGTTTTACTAAAATACTTTTATCTTTATAAAGATTGAAAGCATTCCATATTTTTTTTCTTGAGCACTTGGAGTTTTAGCCAAGTGATTTCCAATAATTCCAAATGAAAAATACTTAATGTGGGAAATCACACATAAGGCAGAATAAACATCCGTTTCTAGTCACAGATCTCATTATCTCTCAGACCTATAATTTTAGTTATTTATGTGAACCGTCGTCTTGACAGACATATTCAGAATAATTTAATTTATCCAATAAAATGAAAATACAATATACTGGTTGGTTTTTTTCTGTATCTTTATTTAACAGGGGGTTTGGAGCTACGCAAAAATTCCTCAGAAAGTAATCATGGGTGGTTCAGGTTATGAACCAACTGGGTTTCTTTTGTTTTAAAATGATTATGAACTTAAACAGTTCGGCATTGAGATGTAGCAATAATATTTTAGGCAATGTATTTGGCACAGACTGTGTTCTCTGTATTTATAGTTGTAAATATGTATGCTTCTGTTTTCAAGTTGCATTTTTTTATTTATTTTTAAGAAATTAAGTAGAAAGTCTATATGTAAGTATCTTAGGTCATAATTTTTTAACTTGTATCTAAAAGGGATATGTACACAAGTATGTAAATACACATGTTCCACACCAATGCTTAGGTGTGCTTTCTTTACGAGTAGATTGCTAAATATTGACATGTCTATAATATCAATGCTTGTAATCCGGAAAAGGATTTATATATCTTTTTTATAAGGTTATTAAAATGCCAATATTAGTGATACTTTAACTTAATTTCTAGAATTCATAACTAATATGCTGTGTTCAGAAACCTGAAGTGGCAGAAATTTACAATGCTTACATGTGCTTTCTTTACGAGTAGATTGCTAAATATTGACATGTCTATAATATCAATGCTTGTAATCCGGAAAAGGATTTATATATCTTTTTTATAAGGTTATTAAAATGCCAATATTAGTGATACTTTAACTTAATTTCTAGAATTCATAACTAATATGCTGTGTTCAGAAACCTGAAGTGGCAGAAATTTATGTGTAGAAAAGGCTGTATTTCAAAAGGTTTAAAAAAAAAAAAAAGAAAAAGGAAAAAAAAAAAAAGTAGTTTTACATGGTCTTGATCCAACACCCAGACAAGAAAAGGAACAGACTCCCACTGACTTTAGTTGGGAACTCTAGATCAGACACCAACTACAGATGAGTTAATTTTTTTTTTTTTTTTTTTTTTTTTGCTTTTTTTTGAAGGGTTGGAAAAAGAAATGGA